ATATATATGAAAGTTTTTGTTAAACCATTTTGATGTCTTATAAAATCCAGATTTTCGAAAATGTCAATTTTAATGGTTTAGGGGTTGCATTATATATTATCTATATATTATATAAATTCTCTAATTGATAAGAAACATTGTTCATATTTAGAGAATATATAGTTGTGTTACGTTTTTTATACGTTTATAAGATAAATCTGTTATTAAATTCGACAATGTAATATACAACGCACATGTCAATACATTGATCATCGTCCAAGTTTCATAATGATATACGAACTTACCAAAGCGGTATTAACACATTTTCCGACGGTAATTTACTTGAAAAACGCCATTTTTCTAAAACCATTTTAGTGTCTTATAAAATCCAGATTTTCAAAAATTTCCATTTTAATGGTTTAGGGTTTGAATTGTATATTATCTATATATTCTATAAATTCTCTAATTGATAAGAAAAAATGTTCATATTTAGAGAATATATAGTTGTCTTACGTTTTTCATAACTTTATAGGATAAATCTGGTATTAAATATGACAATGTAATATAAAACACACATGTCAATACATTGATCCTCGTCCAAGTTTCATAATGATATACGAACTTACCAAAGCGGTATTAACACATTTGCCGACGGTAATTTGAATCTTGATTGTACTATCTATTGGTAGTAGCTACATTATTACAACTTTTCCGACGGTAATTTACTTGCAAAAAAGTGTAATATTTTATTTTTTAACTTTCGGAGATGGAGATGTTAAAAACATCATTTAAGATAAACACAAAAAAAAATTTTACAATTAAAGTAATTATTATTAAATTAAGAAAAAAATCACTTTATTCTAAGTACTAAAAAGTAAAAAAAAATGATTATACAAGTAATTAAAATGGAATACTGCTATAGGGTATAAGAAAATAAGATGTGATATGGATTGTAACTACATTCTCAAATTATTAGAGTTAGAAACCACTCTGTTCTCTCTCTTTTCGGCCGATCGTGAAGGAGATGATCTCTATCTTGTCCTATATGAATCTTCATCACTGATCTCCACAGCAGAAATCAATCTTTCAACGTTTGTTGTGTTAACCAATGGGGTAGATTAAAAAAAAAAGAGAGAACCATGAGAGATTCACACAAATATTTTTCGCTATTCACTATTCTTGTTCATCTCTTTTCTTATTCTTTTCGGAAGTGTTTCATGAAGACTCCATCAGTATTACTTTTATTTATTCCTTAATCAGTGATACTTCCAGAAATGTTTCATGTCCAATTTGTCGACGGCAGTCTTTTCCGGTTCCAAATCGGAACCGTTATAAGATCGATTCGAGTGAAATGCTACACGGACTGCATCCGCTTCGCATCTGTTATCTCCGGCGTGGTCTCTATGTCCATGATCGATGACCAGTATTTTTGGTATTTGAAAAATAGTTTGGATATTCATGTACCAAACTAACGAGACGTTATCACAATCGTTTATTTATCTTCATATTATTAATGGAAGATAACCCTGCCGAGAAACTACAAAATGAGGTTTTGGTTCTTATTCTCTCCTGGCCATTAGAATATGGTGGGCATTGCTTAAAGGTGAGCGTTAGAAGGTCATTCATAATGGTGAATGAACAGTTCAAAAGCCATATTTCGATACAATACAGTTGGTATCGAATAATGGAATACTCTGAGCTTTTATTGAAATCCTGGTAACCATCATGGAGGCGCGAATGGTTCAGGTTTGGAAGTATTTTCATTTTGTTGTATAGCGATGTTCATACAATCGTTAAAATTTGACGATCTCATTTTTCATCTATTTCGGATGAATCAATATATTGGATTCTAATCCAAAATATATCTATAGATCCAATTTGGGATCCGACCAATAATATACAACAAAAGAATTTGGCGTCTATAATGCGACATGAAATTGAAGACCGGAAGAACATTAGCAGTGTTGGTTCTTCAGTAATAAGGATGACCTTTCAAGAAAAATCATCTATATTTTTCGTTGTTGATTATATTGTTTTGTATTATTTTGGTTATGTTTGTTGTTTTAGTATTCTATGTACTTTGTATGTGTTTGTATAAGTTATATAAATAAATTACGTGTTAAATAAAGAAAAAAAAAAGATGTGATATCACTACAAGAAAACTGATTGTTTGCTACCGCTAAAAGAGTCACAAGATAGTCACAAATACAGTATTAGCCACTCTATTATAACTAAAAGAAACGGTCGCAAATATTTGGTCGCAAATTGTTTTGGTCGCGAAATAGTCGCACATGTGCAACCACATTATGACGCCTAGACATAGTCATATATTAATGACTGTTTCGATACATAATTAGTGAATCTCTACGTGGTGACTTATTTGTCACAATATTAGAAAAAGAAATTAATTAATAACTAGAATAATATAAAAAAATATTGATAGCTGAAAAATATTAATTTAAAATATCTTAGTACAGTTTATAATTACTGAAACTGGTTTATAAAGAAGATTTCGTTTATTAAATTAAATCTGGTATAAACACCAAAATCAAATTACAAATCAAACTGGTTTTCAAATCTAAACCTAAACATCCTTCTGTCGTTCTCTGCCAGACTGCCACCTCCGCCGATGTCCGCAACATTGCTTCGCCATTTACCGCCTGTTAGTGGCAGGACAGACGGCACCGCTCCACCACCACAGCTCCGTCATCACCGCTCAGCCTCGATATACCTCTAAACCGCTTTGTCCTTAACCACTATTTTTTCTCTTCACGCCTCCTCTTTCGCCAGCACCGCTCTCATGACGCCTACACCAGCACCTACGGTTCGTCAGTACCTGTGACGTGTCTCCGTTGTCTCATCTTTTACCTATGGCGAGCGTCCGATCCGGTTCGTCACTCCAGATCTGTGAAAATAAAAACAATAAACTTCATTAGAAATGGCATAATGAAGAGAAAGGAAAGAAGACAACATAAATGAAAAAAAAAAAGAGAGATGAGATTGAACAAGACCAGGGAAAAGAGATGTAGAGAGTGTGAGGAAGACCAAAGAGTAAAGAGAGATGAGAGAAGAAAAAATTCTGTCGGTAGAAGAGAGAGAAGGAAAGAAACACTAATGATCTAGTCCATCCGATTAAAGGATATCAAGGGCTCATAAGGTTATCCTTGTCAATGGGATATTAACCAATAGCAAATTTTCTTTGTTTCTCTTTTTTCCCATTAATTGTTTTAAGTGAACTCAACAAATTATTGATTAAACTGATTCATTTGTAAATTATATAAGTAAATAATTTTAAAAAGTGGTTTATAAATGTAGTCGATGGTTATAATATTTTATGCTTTAGGGTTTGGCACATGAGATTTAAGGTATAAGTTTAAAAAGTATTAGACTTTTGAAATTTTGATTCATTTTTAGCAGTTGTATTCTGCTGTATTCTCAAAAAAATTTAAATATTATAACCATTCAACTATATTATGTTTTTAAAATACTTTGTTTTTATTATGATATATTTAGACATGGAGAATGAAATTAAATTAAGAAATAAAAGATTATATGTATTGTTGATAAACTGAAAAACAGTTACAAAATAGCTTTGTTCGAAAATACACTAGGCGCTAGCCGGACGGTAACTATGGGCCTAGCGAGTTACCAAAAAATCGGGGATTAAGCGGGGTGTACTCGGGAATTATAGTTTTATTCATTATGTTATTCACTTTAATATTTAAAATTCATATATAGTGTAAATAAATTTTTATGTGAGATTTTTCAATATAATTTATTGAAATTTATATAAATATGGAGTTTTATCACAAATGGAAAAATTTCAAGTAATTAATATTGTTCCATTTTTAAACCCAAAAATACAATTAAACCCTAATTCTTAAACCCTATAATATTAATTAGTTAAAATTATGAATTTATAATCACTGATCTTCTAATTATAAATTACATTCTTCATTTTAAAGAATAAAAACAAAACAAATATAACATATTAAAAGAATTTACAAAAACATTCAATATCATTACACGAAATCAAACAAACACATAACACATTCTAGGTTTTATGCCATCACAAATGTAAAAACTTGAAATTAAAATTGTTTTTGGGATTTGTAGTTGTGAATTGTAATATTAGTTCATATCTGTGTAAAACATCATAACTAAATGCATTTATATATAAATATTGTTGAATCTTTGGGAAAAACTTGATAGGTGTCCATAATAGGTATCAAATTAGTTTTAGATTTGGGACTACCTTTGCCACTAAATATACCACTGAAAGTAAAGTTTTAAATTTGTCACAATTTATGACTATTTTGAGACTGATAATGTAAAGTAGGCCAAACGTCTTAATTGTGTCGCTAATTTGCGACTATTTGATAACTATATATTGTGGTAGCAAATTTGTGACTAATTTGCCTTTAATATTAGTGTAGTCATAAAAAAGTCACAGTATAGTTACTTATTTGTCACAAGTATTTGCCACTAAAAAAGTGATCACAAATAGTAGTCTCAAATTAACAGTTTTCTTGTAGTGTATGGAAAGTCATATAAATCAGAGTTATATGACAGCGGTTGATAAAAAAGTTAATTCCTATTAATAGAAAATTTACAAGGAAAGTATTGGCAGGGAGAAACGTTCGTCGAATCCTCCTCTCATTCCCTTGATCGCCGTCGTATGTTCAGGTCAGTTGTAGAATCCTTGTCCCATAGTTTTTCGTTTCCTTCGTCAATGTTGGAATCAGTCACCCTTTGTATAGTTCTGATCCACTCTCTTCATGGCTTTGCGAGAGTGCCTTTGTCGTGTATGCTTTCTATTTGATAGTATTGGTTATAAGATTCGTTTTATTGATTTTCCCGAAATCACTCTCGTCTGTTATGTAACGTGTTTGTCAAGTAGTGTGAGCCTAGGGTTTCACATGCAAAGGTAATGTAGATCCTTATCTCCTTGTTGGATCCATCCATACAGTTTTCTTTTATCATGATCTCGTTGCATTGTGAGTAGCTGTGAGTAACATAGAATGGAGGAAGAGAGAGATGAATCGAGGAAAAGCAGGAAGGAGAGGGAGATGGAAAGGCGGCGTCTAAGGGACAGAGAGAGAAGACAGTCTATGAGCCAAGATGAGAGGGAAAGGCATTTAGCTCGGCGCCGCAAGAACTACCAGCTACGAAGGCAGAGAGCTGAGGTAAGCCGTATTGGCTCTCAGATCCAAGATATCACCGCAGGAGCTCGAGGCAACCAGTTGGCAGTGACCTCACCTCTTCATTCCGGAGACAGCAGTACTGTCCCGTTGGTTGATTCTGATCAGAGTGAGGATCTCACAAAACCCCATCTAGTTATAAAATGTATTGAAAATTGTGTATCATCATGTGTATGTGGTTGTAGGTGTGGGAATACCAGTGGAGGAGTTGGTTAAACTGGTGGGGACGATACGGCTTAGCCGTGTGAAACATTTGGCGAGGACACTGAGAAAGTGGAGTACTACTACTGGTGCAGAAGCAAGCAGTAGTAATAGTGTAGCAACAAACGCCATGACAAGACGTAATTAAGCTATACCTAACTCACATATATACTTGGAGAGATTTTTATTAGATGTGTGTGATTGATGAAATGAACAGGTGCAATGTCAAGTGGGCTACGTCTGAGTCGAGTCAAACGACTGGTGCGATCAAAGGGCCAGCAGGAAGGGTTGTTGTCACAACATTCACCAGCACAAGGTTCGTTTAAATAACTTACTAATTATATTTAAAAGACTCAGATTGATTATTACTTTCATGTATCATTTAGCTCTCTCCACAAATCTTCATTCTATAAAAATTAATAGCTGTATGTTCTTCCTTGTGTCAACAGGAATCCAGATTCAGTAGAGTTCAGAAATTTGAACGCGAGCCGCAAATCATATGTTAGCGTGTTTGTAAAAGCGAGCACATTATCTTTTTGGAGACATCTTTGAAGCTCACCAATTTTGTTTTATAATACAAGTGGGAATACAGTACATTCTATACAATCTTTTTGTTTTTGTTGTACCCGTTTCCTATCCAACGTACACCATTTTGATTGTTAACGCAGTTTCAAGCTTATGTCTTTGGCAATAAATAATAATTAGAGATTAACAAGATCGATCTTCATTTAAAAAAAGTTACTACTACACATGAATGTTCAATTTTCTGACTTGGATTTGCTTAGGACAAATCACAACAAATGGATAGGTGTGACTTTTTTTTGGTCGAAAGGTGCGATATTTTTTAATATTAATTAAGTTTTGTGGAATATAAGATGAACACTTATAAATTCAAATGAAACAAGGGGACGAAGAACATATGTGAAAGAAAAGTTTTATAAATAGGATGATTGATGAAACAGGTTTGGTAAACACAACATTTCCCATATTTTAGTTTTAGTAAACATAAAGAGGTTCCAACAAAATATGAATGCATGAGTTGTTGCACCAAGTTCTGTTCTTACTTAACATTATGGCCACCAAAACGTTAAGAACATATTAATGTTTTAAAAACAAACCAACGTCTTGCTTTCATAGCTCAGTTGGTTAGAGCACCCGTTTAGTAAGCGGGAGGTCTTGAGTTCAACTTTTAAAGAAAGCAATTGTTTTTCTTTTTTTTATATTATATGGGCTGCATTTTGGAAAGGCCCATTGTACAATTTGGGCTTAGGTCTAGGGGAAATTCGAATTTTCAGTTCAAATCGTAGAATTAGGGCTTCCGCCGACGTCCATATAAATAGTGGAAAGCATATTACGAAATTTACATCATTGACTAAATCTGTTCCAATTCGTTTCTCTGTGTTGTCTCTTGTTTAGGTTTCTTCGAATCACTTAATTAGGGTTTCTTCATGAATTTGGTTATCAAGTTTCACCATCCTCTTAAACTCTCTCTTCTTTTCCAATTCTATTTTAATAATAAAAGATTTGTGAGGCAGTGATGAGTAATTCGAGATAGTCATGCACCACTCTGATTTTTAGTGCTGAGAATTTCTCTTACCATACATCTTCTTAGCCTGATATTGATTTACGTTTTTCATATCTTGATTTGAACCTTTTCTTTGTTAAAGATTAGACATTGATTTATGGATTATTGAATTGATTGTTTTCTTTTTTAAAGTATGAAACTAATTTTTGTTTGAGAGGAAGGCAGTGATGACTCGGAAATACTCAAGCTCAACAGACCGGAATTAGGCGTTTCTTCCGAGATTCGTTTCTGTGTCGATAATCCCGCTGAACTGAGTCTTCTCTCTTTATTTGATCAGTTTTAAATTTGAGTTTTGTTTTACCTAAATTGCAATCTTTTTTCTAAATTTTTTTGAAATCGTTTGGGTTTTGGAGATGACAATGAGGATATAAAGCTCCCTCTGCTGATTTCAGCTGAAGTAACTTGCTGGCAGAATCGAACCTAAATCACTAGCCACCACTGAGTCATCTCCTTTATCTTTTCCTATGAATATTTTGTTTTATTTCTTTAGTATCTGATTAATGGTGAAACATATATTATCGGGTGATAATGATGAAGCAATTAATCTAATCCAACACTTGATCTGAGTTATGCTATGTGCATCTGATGTTACAACACTTTAGCTTCTGAATCTCCTCCCCAAAAATCATCTTTGTGCAATTTGTTTTGGTCTCGAATAAGCAAGGCTAGTTGATAAACCAGTCTATCAAACATGACATCTAGCTTCTAAGTTATATGTATAGTAACGTAGTATCCCTTAAGAGTGAACTCATCTTTTGGACCTTTTTGTATAATCTTCCAGAGTCTTGTATCATTATTTCATCATGTACCTAGTAACGTCACCTTACAATTCAATCTGACTATACCCATAATCTTTTTGAACTCCTGTATTCTCTATCCTACCAGAGTAACAACCACATTCGGGTTCATACTTGCACACTGACTACATTACAAAACACGTACACTTTTTGTAGCCTACCAGCACTACCTTAGGTATCAGGTCGAACGCCGTAATCACTCTTCATGCTTCCGTCCTTTGCCAACTACACTTGCATGCAGTGCGAACCTCCAAAAACGTTACAGAATTTGGTCTACAACCTTCTTACCTTCATCTAAAATTTGTCCATGAAACCCACATCCAGACATCATTTAGGTCTATTTACATTTCAGCATGGGCACTATATGAATCTATTGTTAGTACAGCTCTGTATCAAGACATCGTTCGTGGGATCTCATTCAGAGTTCCAGCGATGCTAAGAATACAACTAAGCACTAAACAGAGGGGAAAATCGGCCAATTTATACCTCAACAGAGAGTTATGGTCCCGATTAGTACATCAACACCTAATATATTCAAATTTCATACATTAACTAAAAAATTTGCCTTTTATATACATTGACCAATAATCTGTTAGTCAAATATAATAGGATCTGAGCTGTCCGTTACGTATTGATTACGTGTCACTATAAAATATTATATGGTACTTCATATTTTAATTAATTAATAAATTTTTTTTTGAAATGATGTGGGGACGTTCGAATCTGGGTCTGGACAATTTAACATCAGTCCATAAGCCACTGTACCAAACATAGTTTATTGAATGTATTCTCTATTGTCGCAAATTATACTACCAAATATTCTCATTTTCTTCCTATTTATGTCTTATCATCCAAACAAATTAAATAATCAAACTAGATTTCGAACTCGCACGTCCGTGCGGGTAATTTTTCATTTTCTAAATATAAAATTTAATATATGTTAAAAAAATTATTTTCTATAAAATTTATTACATAATTTACGAATGTTTAATCTTTTTAAAAGGTAAATAATATTTTAGTCACTTAAATGGTGATTGATATTTTATTTATTTATTTAAATATTTTTTAAAAAAATATATATATATATATATATATATATATGACTTTACCAATTTAATATATTTTTTATATGTAATTCATTTATTATTTCTATTTTAATATAATATAGACTATAACTATAAAATTTATAAAATTGGCATATAGTATATTCTATTTTGTTTATAATAAAATTTAATTAAGATTAATGTATAATAATATTATACTACTAATTACGAAATTAAACAGTGCATTAATTAAAAAACTATTTCAATTTTTAAAAAGATTTTGTTAGATTTGTTCTCAATAGATTTTGTGATTACTAAAACTAAAATTAAAAATTACAGTTAAAATAGATTTGTTATTAATATCTTTATAACTATTTAGAAATGTTATACATTAAATAAAATAATGTAAGTTATCAAAACAATCTAACTGAATATGAATCTTCTATAGTAGATAAAAATGGTATTTCTCTTTTAATAGAGAAGATGGTTTTTCTACCCCTTGTTTTATAGATAATAAAAATAAAATATTTTTTTACTAGGTTAAATTATATGTTTTACAATTAAAACATTTTCTAATTTTTTATCACATTTTTTTTGATTTTTTTAAAAAAATTCAAAAGTGCTTTTTGAAATTATTTTTAAATTTTATGTTTAATTTTAATATTAATTTTAAGCACAATGATAATCACTAAGTTAATTACACACAATTACTTAATATATACTATGTGGAATTAATTCTAAATAAATTTTTTTTTTTGATGAAATTTCATATTTATTGATCAAAAATGGAAAGTGAATTTACAAATGGGTCTGAGCTAAACTAAAGCAAAGAATGAAAGAATATAGCTTCCTAATCAGTGTGAACTTCAAACCAACGCCTTAGGAGGGGCTCCAGTCTGTGATTGCCTCTATATTTTAAAGAAGAGATCCTGTTCTTGACTAGTTTACTGATGCCCTTGGTAGTCCTCTCCACCGGGATACAGGCTCCTCCATGCCTGCGAGAGTTTCTCTCCCTCCACAACACATAGAGAGTAGATTGAAAAACTAACTTCAAGAGGATTGTGTCTAATCTGTTTCGACTCACAAGCAGCAGGGACACAACTGTGTCATCCCAATCCGGTGTTATTGCAGATCCAAGAAGATTACCAGCGACATTCATCCACACAGTGAATGTGTAAGGGCAAGCAAAGAATAAGTGGTCTCTGCTTTCATCCCTTTCTCCACAGTAAACACATTTCTGTTCACTCCCCCAGCTCCTCATTCTGACTCCTGTGGACTAACGGTCTTGTATAGTCAGCCAGACCATGAAGGATTGGCGAGGTATACCTTGAGGGAACCACACGAGCCTGTGCCAGGCAGTGGTTTTCTTCTTGTTTCGCAGATAGTCCCATGTCTTGGTGGAAGAGAAGCTCGGCTTGTAGTCATCTTGGGTATGCCGCCAAAGAACTTGATCAGGCCCTGCTGTAACGTCCGGTCTGCTAATCCCTGCAAGCTGGTGACAGAGCTGTGGGTATCTTCTGTACCCGCATCTACGGATGTTCCAGCCATCATCAGTTGATGCCTCTTAGGTGATACGGATGTTCCAGGCATTTATAACTAAGTACTATTAACGCTTCATATTAAACACCCCCCCCCCCTCCTTTATTATAGTTATATGTTTCAAAATAATAAAACACTACCCAACAAATGTAACTCTAATAGTCTAAATGCATAAATACATCATTATGGAGCATCAAACACTTCACCTTTATCCAATATACATGGAACCAAATCAAGAATATGCTCTTACATTCGGCTTTGAAGCATACCAAGCATTAGAACCAAAAAGAAATCTCACCATCAACATAACCCGTATTAATACAAATCAAACCAACATATCAATCAACCTCAAATTCTCAACCAGGAATATGAACATATTTAGGTGATACGGATTCTCAATACACAGATTATTAATTGTATTATATGTTTCTTTTTTTATGTCTAATGTATTTTATTCAGATATTTCCTTTGTTTTTTATATTTCCATTTTCATATGTATGTTGTCATTGTCAGAATTTTTACATCATCTAAATATGTTCATATTCCTTATTATAAGCTCTTAAAGTTATAAAAAGTATATAAACTACTAGGTCCGGCCCGCCCTACGGGCGGGTTCTACTTCACATTTGATTTCGGTTATTACGTTTCGTATTGTTTGTACAAATTAGATATTTGTTATCATTTCTTTATTCCTTTGTGAGAGAAAATATGAATAGTTTTATAAAAATAAGATATTATTATTTTTAAAAATTGAGAAAGTATTAAATGGGATATGTATTATTTTTTAAGATTTAAAAATTTAGAGGGAACAATTAAGTCAGAGAATTTCTTCTTGTGCATTGTTTAAAACAACATGTTTTTATTTGTAACGAATACACTGAAAATATGAAATTATTTGTTTATAATGGTATAAACGTGACAAATTAATTATTATAGTATTGAAACATGTTGTTTACGATATTGTGGCCCTGCATGTTGGACATCTGATGTTCATTCGGATCCAGTCAACAATGCATTGGTGATGATATATATGGTAGTATTGCAGTTCATTTATAGAATCATCACTTACAATTTTCCCCATGCATATTTTGCAGATTTCATTTTCTTCCATGAGTGAGGGTATTCTCTTATCAGAATGGAGGTTTGTTGTAGCAATGTCGATGTCAATTCTGTGGATTGAATGTGGATTGTATTCCGTCAGATATAATATGATGTGTACACTCCTCTCTTCATAATTGGTGAGATGTTCAAGCTCCGTATGAGCAAATGTGGATGCTGATTCTGCGATTCTTTCAGCAGAGTGTATGCTCATGTCATGGTATATGAGCATAGATTCCATTACCCCAATGGTGAAATCTGTAAGATAATGAGAATCATTGGTTGAGAATTTGAGGTTGATTGATATGTTGGTTTGATTTGTATTAATACGGGTTATGTTGATGGTGAGATTTCTTTTTGGTTCTAATGCTTGGTATGCTTCAAAGCCGAATGTAAGAGCATATTCTTGATATGGTTCCATGTATATTGGATAAAGGTGAAGTGTTTGATGCTCCATAATGATGTATTTATGCATTTAGACTATTAGAGTTACATTTGTTGGGTAGTGTTTTATTATTTTGAAACATATCTAACTATATTAAAAGGGCGATATCAAGCCCTGTGAGCTATGCCACGTAGGCGAAAATAATCAACCAATAGAAAGTTAGTTTTTCGCCACGTCACACCCAATTTGAGTAATGTTAGGGTTTTTAATTCGGATCCGTTTGGTTTGTTTAACGAGATGAATCCTTCTCCTCTCTCCTTTTGCGTTCTTCTTCGTCGTTTTGTAGCCTCAACCTACCGTCATCTGTTATATACATGAATAGATTCGATCCTGAATTGCTCTTATTCCTTCTAGGGTTTCGATCTATCTCTCTTTTGGTCGCATCCTGTTATCCGAGAAGGACCTATCAAATCTCCATTGCCGAAATCAGTTATCATGGCTCCCGTGCTCAAATCGCTGATCGTATCCTTTTGATTTCACGTTCCTTGATCTATTTTTGTTTTCATTGGATCTCACTCTCTCAGTGTTCTGATTCGATTTTCGTCAGTTTTTTTTTTCAGATTTATATGATATTACGTAGATTTAGGGTTAGTGTTTCTTTGAGTAATTGATGAAAATCTATTTGAAAGTCAACGAATGATGGATTTTTTACGCACTACAGAGAATCTCCTGCCTCTGGTTACATTGCAGAACCTGTAAAAAGAGTTAGTCGGCTAATGAGAGGCATCTTGATTTAGGTGTGGCCAGTGGAATTAAGCATTACACTCGACCGCTGCCTCTTTCAATCGAGTTGTTCAGGTAGATGATGATGATTATGATTTTGGACTCTACTTTATCTTCTGACTAACCGAAACTCTTTGGCCTTTTTTTTATAGAAATCCATTAGTCTCAGTCCTTTACGAGAGAGGTTGGCGTCAGAATTTCTGTGGGGTGGTTTCCCAGGACCAGAGAAAGAGGTCAACCACGGTTCTTTATGTTATTCATCTAGCCAGATGCATTAGTAACACTGTGTTATATTTGTATTCAACAGTTTGAAATGGCAAAGGAATACTTGAATAATGAATGTTTTGGGAGCTTTGATTCTTTTGGTGAGAGTGGGTTTTGGGCAAGTTGTGATATCACTATGAGCTGTTCAAAAGTAAACATGCAGGTTCACATGTAAATCAAACTTCTGGTTGATTTTCAGTTTTCAATTACTTAACACTTTTCCCGGCTGATGAAAGAGCTCCACGGGACTGATTTGTGGAATCTGCGGCGAACTTATTCCCTAGGATCAGTGAGATAAAAACCACTCATCTTATTAAACCATTTTGGTTAACTGACATATGATGTGTGTTGTTGATGTGACTTGCAGGTGCATAAATATGTTGAAGCTGCACAGTTTTGTGTCTGGGACACTTTCTACTCTCGATGAGGTTAACGCTACGCTTTCACCGCTTAGTGGCCCTTCTTTAGAGACACTGAAAGTCAATATTATGAGGCAATGTAGACTCTCTTGATCTATGTTTTTATCTGCTAAAAAGGGCGACTATGATCATACATAAAGATCTCTGTGAAATAGTAACCTTTGATGCATTTTAAATTGCAGTGCCTCAGGTAATCTTCCAAGCTATTTCTTTTAAGAGAATTTATGGAGTTCTTATGCCAAAACTGACTGATACACGCACATGTTGAGTTAAATGAGTTCGGTGAAGCTCAATGTTAGCTGCAACTGTTGATTGGGACAAAGCATTCTATTCGATGCTGAAATATTGTATTAGAGCACTTCAGGATATTATATGCTTCAGTTTAACGTAGACGAACTCAAGTCACTTCTCTCTTTATCCTTTTTCTGTAAAAACTGATTTGAGTTATTGAATGGTATTTATACTAACAAGAACATTGTCGTGTCAGGTTTGTTATGTTGTCGTGAGGTTATGAAGTGAATCTCTAGGAGTATCTGTTCTGAGGAGGAATCAGTCATGTAGCTTATAACACTGCTGTAGAGAAGGTTTTGGAGATGATCAAGCTAAGAGTTCATCCCTTAGAAAGGTAGTTTAGTGACCATGGCTGTATCTGTTTTTTACAAAATTATGGTTCTCATTTAATTATTGTTTTCTGTTTAAAAAATCAGGTCATACTTGCTCGTAACAGCAGAGTTATAACATATACCATCATTGATCCCATTGCTTGGCTTGCACAGTTACAGGTATGCTCTAGATATCTATATCGTAATAGTAGAACTATAAACGCAATGTTATGACTTAAATCTCACTCTAATAATTATTGGTGGTGCAGGACAAAGGGCATGTCGCGTATCAGTTTTGTCTTCAACCACCAGGAGCACCAGCTTTTATCTAAAACACAGGACGAAGGGCATGCGCGTATCAGTTTTGTCTTCAACCACCAGGAGCACCAGCTTTTATCTAAAACACATTATGGTACAAGTAGTTTGTTGATACATTTTATTTTGATTTCAGTAGTTAATATGTTAGGCTGAAAAGCCTGACATTAACATATCCGTGTGACATGCATCTTTGTGAAACAGCCTGAGAGACTTTTCCAAAGAAATTAGTTAGGTGTCTACAGTGAAGCTGTGGCTATAACCAGGCCTCTGGCTGCTCCAACGGATCGTCATATGGAGATCGAGAGTGACTTACTAACCAAGTCATTTATTTTACTTTCTGTTTTGAACCATCATAGAATATTTTGTTAATCTTATTCTTTTGTGTGGGATTCCTTATTTTTTTGAGAGAGTTAATGGAAGGGTCAAAACAACAAGGATAATTCTAATGGTCCACAATGATTTTTTACCCCTTCTTAAATTCTAACCTTCAAGACAATATGTATTCATTTCTTATGCTCAGATAATGAAAAAAAAAATTCAGAGACAATTAAGAAAATAGAAAAGTAAAAGTCAGAGAAAGACCTAAGTAGCGATTGATATCTAGAGATGATCTTTCTGCTTTCTCATCATTATCTTCTACAGGTTTTCCAACCGTATACGTAGCTTAGTACATTCATATATGCATCATCTTAATATGGACATAAACTAAAAAAAGGATCAAGAAATCGCTAGGAGGTATGAGGGATCCAATCATTTTCCCTTTCAAAAGTGTACTTATTTAAAACATAAGAATTAGGAGTACATCCTAACCTAACTAAAAATTTTTTGCAGGACTATATTTTTATAGGTATTTCAAGTTGAAGCGTTGTACATATGTAACTCATGGAAACGTTCAATCAACTTACAACTTACATGAGAGGAGAATAAAATTAATCAAAAGTTTTCACGAACCAGAGAAACCTCCATTATAGAGCCGACAAAGATTCTCAGAGATTTGATAATTTTTTTTCCTCTGTCTAAATCACAATATGGCCTACAATGGTGTATGGAAGAAATATTTAAATTTCAGCGGAATACGAGACAAGTTGTTTACAAAACATAACAAGATTATTTACTATTTATATCCAAGAGTATATTCAAAAATAAATACATAACTTAATAACTTCTATAACAGACATCTGAGATCAACCTAATACAGTATGTTGAAGTTTAGAGGATATAAATTACAAAAAAGTTTAGATGATATAGTAACTAATATGGACATAGTAAATATGTGATTTTGACTTAAAAGTAATGTCAAACAAAAAATTATAAAACTACTTATACTAATTAATATATTATGAAAAACATAATTATTTAAATGTATAGGGTGAATATGAAAAGTTTTGAATCCAAAATAAACCAGAAACAAAATATCAAAATTATAATAGACTATCTATAACAAAAGATATATGTATATAAAATTACATCAGTTAATTTATCTTAAATCAATTCATTTTTATATGCATAGTGGCTGTTTCATTAAAAGCTAAAGAATCACAAATCGAATAAATTAGTGAGTATATATATGACTAGAAGAAAAATAAAAACCAAATAAATTTGAAAAAACTTAAAAAAAACAAATAAAATTCACACATCAGTTCAACACATAGTTGAGTCCTATGTTTTAACAAATTTTGTGAGGTTTAAATAACGATTTTTAAGAAAACTCAAACTAGATTATATGAGTCATCAGATTTAACGGTTTGATCCAAAAAAACATTGGTTCCATGATATGTTTATAAAGAAATATTTATTTTTACCATTTTTATTAATATTAAAATTGTTTCAAGATTGTATAAACATTTTTCTCCAACTTCAGCTGATTTTTTTGTTTATCAAATTGTCTTTCCAATTTAAAATTTCTTTACATCCACGTCAATAGAGATTTCCTTCATGTGTGTTGATTTTCTAATATTAAATATAGTTTCAAAGCTCTTTTGGACCAATGACTAACAAAAGAATCATTAATATAGTTTTTATACTAAAAATTTACAGAAAATGTGATTTCTACAGATTAATTAAACTAAATCGTATAGAAACTAAAATAGTGACAAACTTATAAGATATAATCCGCGCGTAGCGCGGACAAAAGCTCTAGTAACTATAATAAAGGAGGGGGGGTGTTTAATATGAAGCGTTAATAGTATTTAGTTATAAATGCCATGCTTAAAACCAACGCTCTGATTAGTAATGTTATTCCTTTTTAGTGTTAAAGTCATATGCATATTCTGGGTTGTATATAATTTAACAGTCGTTGATTATTTTAATTATCTTCGTATTTATATATATGTTAATGTATTTTTGAGACACGAATAAGTTCCGGATTTGACCTAGCATACTTTTTAAAAAAATTAAAGACGGTCTTAAATATCAATTTACAAATATGCATAATTTTTTGATGCTCTTGTTATTTCATGAGATTTTTTATAATAGATATTATAATAATAATAATAATCATAATAATATCTATTATGCTCATGTCATGGTATGTGAGCATAGATTCCATTACCCCAATTTTCAAATATACATAATTTTTTGATGCTCTTATTATAACATGAGATGTTTTATAATATATATTATTATAATAATAATAATAAATAAATCATTTAATAGTGTTTTCAATTTGATAGTAATTAATGGATTTTGCTGTTAGACAAAAATCATATATACATAAATATATATATATATATATATATATCTTAATACTCTCTTTAAATATATTGTGTTATTTAGCTTATAACCGCCAGATAGTTTTAATTTACCATAAAGTTAGAATTAAGAGTCTATAAAATGTATTTTAATTTATTTATCAAGATTAATTGGTCTGGTCTCGTTATATTATATAGAGAATACTTAATTCTGATTTCATCTGTATTTAAATATATTTTGAATATACAATGAACCGATTATACAAATATATAATGGTAGATAACTGAAAATTATATTTATGATTGCCATCTATATAAATAAAAAGTTAATTAAACATTAGATACAATCAAAATAGTCTTTTATCATTCAAGTTTTCATGAAAAAAATATATTTTAATTTACAACTGATTTTTATTTTTACAAATTAACTTTAGAATAATTTAGTCATCATCTGCAATCATAAAAAAAAGTACAAACCAATATATAAATTGTTTTTTGTTCGTTTAGAGATAAATTAGATTTGTGGATTGATATACAATCTTGGTCTGAAAAGTACAAATAAATATAGATAAACATACAATGTATATATAAAAGCAGGTTTACAAAATATTTGAACCGGTTTGGAATTTCAAATTGGTTTACATCATTAAACAATTTTTTTTTAAAGAAAAATACAAAACTGAAACTAATTTTATTGGTTTAAAAATAGACACACAAAGCAGAATCGTGAAATTAAAGTATTTAAAATTGTGATAAATTCTGAAAACTATCTTTGAGTGATTCTAATAATTTGGAAATATTCAAAATAACAAAATTTGTAATATAGTAACGTGATGTTATTGGCAATGAATATATTATAAATTACCAGTTATTTTCACTCGGTTATACGTACTTTTCTGAGTTCTTTTGTACTGGAGTTTTAGTTCTGATAAAAAAAATGTAGAGCAAAGGTATTTTAGTATTGTATAATATGTATAAAAAATTGGAAAAAAGAGTATAAATTTTTTTTGTGGTGTTACTTGCAGACTTGTAGTAACTGATTTCATATATAGCACCTTCCCTTCCAGATAATCCAAGCAATATAAGTGCTGCTCTTCCCACAAAGGCTATAGTAGCATGTGGATTTGACATTTCTGATTATGTAAATGTTTTTTTAAAATAAAGCCATAAGGTCACCAACATTGATAATATCTCATAGGATTTTTTTTTTAAAAACAATCATTAAGTAATAGTTAAAAAGAGAGAGAGTGTAAAAAATGGAGTAGACTTTTGAAAAAAAGGCTCTCAGGACACCCTGTGAGATTAAGCCTTCCAAAGCTCTTGGAGATATGGTATGTCATATTTTTCAGCAGCAAGATAGAGCGCTCGAGTGTGTTTGCTGGTGGGACTCAAGATCCCGCTAGAGAAGAACTCGAGAAGAGCCTTGAGTTCCTCCTAACTCGAGTCAGGAATAGTGATTGATTTCTCTACTGAAGTTTTGCATTCATCAGAGTCCAACATGTCGCTAAACACTTTCGACTTCACTGCCTATGGGATAAACAACAAAATTCAGTCAAAAGTCTATATAGACGTACTAAGTAAAAGTTGCATATTAGTATTTTATATGCATATGAACTGCAGACTGCACATGAAGTTGGAGTTTCACATGAATATGATAGAGCAATCAGGATCCAAATTCCATGTCTATAATGCTAACCACATCAATCAAGTTGTCTTTACATATATGCTTATTGGTTTGAAATCACATATCTCATGTGTATTTCATCCATATGAATTTCAGTAGAGTGAAAGTTACCAACTAATGTCAATATAGCAATGCTTGTAAGCTTACCGGAAACATATAAACAATGAGACAAAACAATATTGTAATTAATACTTGAGTAATAAAAAGTGTATATAGGTTCTTCTACACCCTCAATCTAATTTTGTCAACTATGAACTAAACATCCATAGAAAGTTCAAAATCACTCTCACTTATAACTTTACATTTTTTATTTTTTTTTAATTATACAGAGGTATCTTGGTCCCACATAAGTGGTCCAGACTAGCTACGTGTTGCCACGTGTCGGTCCTCTGTCTCTGGCGATGCCGAAATGTTAATTCCCCAGTGGCCGGGATTCGAACCCAGGTGGCGGTACTCACAGTTGTAAGCCCTTTACCACTAGAGCTAGAAGCCCCGGTTTATAACTTTACATTTGCATTGTATATATTTAAATTATTATATCTATATATACATGAGGGAGATGTTCACAGTCACTTATAAAAAAGAGTTCAAAAAAATATAACTCTATTCACTACAAAATGAAAACATGACTATTTTCTTACAGAACTTTTTGAGAAAAGAAATTTCCGACGGTTCTCTATGGATTTAGTCATATCTATATAGACCAATTCTCCCATCAATATATATTTATGGAAACGAAATAAGTTTAGAGACGTTACCAAAATAGCTTTGTGAGAAGGAATTCCAGGCACATCACCACCAGGTTTAACTATAACATCAGTGTGTATTCCATTTTTAAATGCCAAAACATTATCACCGAGAAAATCCACTCAATCCAATTTCCTATTTCTCGTGTCTATTGCTTCTCCCTACATGAAAAATAAGAAACATACTTATCATTGTAATACACCGTAGTTTCAGTTCATCCAGCTTCCTCCACCCCGTGAAGCTTCTTCTCCGTCCTCCTCCATCAAGCTTCTCTGCTTCCTCCAACTTTCTTTACCAAAACAAAAACGACAAATCGATATCAAAACTCAGAGAATACAATACATTGATAAGAAAAACATACAATTTTTGTAAAAGTAAAAAAATTTGATGCATTTCTTTCCCTCCAATGAAGAGGCTTTAGCTTGACCTGACCGTTTTTGGAGCTTGAGCCTTCCCCTGAAGATGACCCTTTCGGAGCCGGCAGTGATTTTGAACCTGACGTCTTCTTTAACGGTGGAGGTGGAAGAGAAGGACCGATAGGCTAGAATGAGGAGGTGGAGAGGTGGAGGAGGTGCTGGTGCGGTTTTTTTAACCGGAGGCTGCAGCAGAGGAGGTGGTGGCGTATCCGGTTTAGCAAACTTGTAAGAATCTGATTTAACCGGATGATTATCATTGTGAACTACACTGTGAGAAGTGGAGGATCTACCTCTGAGAAGCGGCATCTTTGTAACGGGTTCAAACTTCTTGTTCTTTGAATAAATCACATTCTTCTCTTCGTCGTTCGCCGTGAACGATCACTTTCCTAAAGCTTCCACTTTTGTTGTTTCTCTGTCTCTGCGTATTTCTCCAATATAACACATCGAGAGCATTCTCATCCAAGATCAATCCTTTGACGTTTCCTCCGAATCTTGTGAACCCCTCGCGAGCTAACGCCGCCTCTGCAAGTGAGGGAACAGGAGGAAGGGTGTTCACGACGTTGAATCTGTCTCTCCGTTGCGCCGCACGGTGTAGAGATGGACAAAGAAGAAGTGAACGTCTGCTAAGAGTAAAGTTCTTGCCGCCGTTATGAGTATAGCCCTCGTGATCTTTTCTCTGTCCGAGGATGATGATTGTGGGTTTTGCTGCTGGAGAGGAACTGGAGAGGGAGAAGGAGCGGTGAGGGTGTCAATGTTTTGTGGAGAATCGGATTGAGAAAAGGAATGGTAAGGGAAGAGAAGAAGAATCAAGGAGAAGAAAATTAGGTTAGATTAGGAGGGAGACGAGGAAGCGGTGGCCGTGGTTAAATGAAACGCAGAAGCCTAATCCAGATTTGGCCTACGTGGCCTTTCCAGGCTGGCATCCTACATGGACACTCTCAGGAGGAGAGATGCTCTCTTTTATATAATAGATAAGTAATTGTGTGTAATTAACTTACTGATTATTTTTGTGTATAAAAACAATATTAACGTTTTAAAAATCAATTCTCAAAATAGTTTCCAAAGAATTTTTGAATTTCAAAAGAAAAATCGAAAAAAAATTGATTAAATAAATTAGAAAAAGTTCAAGTTTCAAAACTGTTGACAAAAATTATTTTATTTTCAGATTATTTGGATGACAAGACAGAAATGGAAAGAAAAGATGGAAACATTTGACAAAATACGTATAATAGTAAAAAACAGAAAATAAATTTAATAAACTACGTTTGGCACCGTGGCTATTGGATCTGTTGTTACATTGTTCTGAACCCGGGTTCGAGATCCCTTACCTCATTTCAGAATTTTTTATTAATTATTAATTATTTAAAATATAAAATGCCACATAATCAATATATAACATACACTTCAAATTCCATTATATTTGACTAACGGATTATTGGTCAAGCCGAATTTTGTTAGTTAATGTATGAAATTTAAATATACTAGGGTTCATCAACACCCCCACGGGGTTAGTAAATGTTGTATATCCCAATATACTTATTTCCAAGATCTCTGATAGAATTGTTCTCATTACTATACTTTGAAGATTATAATTCATTTGAGAAAGACACGCTGATTAATAAACAAAGTACGAAATCACGTTGGACAATATGTTCTCCAAAACTTATATGACCGTGCTTTGGAGAACATAGACCACATATCTTATTATTTGGTAATGCATGTAGAAAAACAGTTAAAGAGAGTAGAGCTGATTATTTTCTTGAGCTGTTTGAGTTTTCATGGATCATTTCAGATGCTTCTACGGTAAACTCTTTCATGATTAGATTAAGTGAGAAGCTTTGACATATGACTCTCAAATTATCTTTACTCTGTTTTTCTTTTACCAATTCTCTGTTTTCTATTTATTTATCTCACATTGTTTGAAATTTATGAGACTTTGTTATAGGCAGAATCTGTTATCAGTCATGTAACTTATTTAATCAAATAACCAAAGAGGTTTATGTGAAAATGATTGGTCCCTTGACTCGTATGGTGTTATTAAAATGGCTTAGAAATTGTCTATCTGGAGGGCTTCTTTCTCCTCAAGGTTGTCCCACAGTTGATTTCCTGACCATCTCCAGACAACCTTAGGAGATGTAAGAACTGGCTATCGTTGTGGCTTTGTGTGCCTGATGCTGCAGAGTCACTCTTTGAGGTGATGAGTGAATCCACCACATCGTCTTGCAGACATTCTCGGAATCTTTGAACAAACGTCATGCTAACAGGTTACAACACAAGAGTTGCAAACAAATAAAAAAGTTAACTTTTACTTTGTAAGTCTAAGTTGGATTGTTGTGTTGTCCTTGACAAATGTCATTGAACACCACTCACTGGCTAAGAAAAAATAAACAATAACTTGGAAGGAATTTAATAGAAAAAAAAATGATTTGTGTCAATAACTGTTTCCACGGATTCATCGGCCTCACATTTATAGATCTCTCCATTCTACTACGAACAACATTCCTCCGAAGAACTATATCTATAAAACAATATTTCTTACACCATATTGTTATTTCACATCTAAGAACTGACATTATAAAAAAAATCAGAATCAAGAAACAATTTTAAAACCCCTGAATCCAGATGATACAGCCATTCCTTATATCATCATGCTTAGGTTTCTCCTTTCAGTGATCAATCTTGATGGTGGAATAGGTCGATACAACTTTACTTGATCTTTTAAAAGTACTGTTGAAAGAGCAGAGAAAGTGTTCAACTACCCTAAGGTAAGAGTAACCGACGATGAAAACCTTGGGACGAGCACTGCCGCGCTGCCTATGGATTTGGAAGCAGCCAAGTCTTCCAAAAGCTTCCACGTTGCTTCGCATTTAGCCACAACCTTGGTTTGTTCGCTTCATATTCTTGGAATAGGAACTTGGCTACATTCATCAAACAGAACTTGGTGTGTCTCTCCCAATACTTTCCTCACATTCAAAGACTCTTTACCGCTTGGTTCCAATGGCCACACATGTTTCTTTCCATAGCCGGGAACCCGATTGGCATTATCACTTAATAGTTTTGAGTAATCAGATTCCTTATGTGATCGTTGTTCCACGGAAAAAAAGCTCTTTCAGCCACCTGAAAAAAGAAGAACCAACACTGAATCTAAACAACTCTTACCATTATTACATAATCACAAACTCAGAACAGCACATGAAAGTGAGAGCTGTTGAGACATCTTGCGATTTGACGAAACAAAGAAACCATACATTTCTGAAACTCAGCTGCTTGAGACGCTTCCAAGACTTCTTAAACCTCACCAAATAACTTCCTTAGAACGATTGGTCGCAGGCCAATACTTTAGTAGGCCTCTAATGACGGTGTCAGAAAGCTTGGAGTCTTTTTCTACAAACTGAACAATGCAATAAGAAAGATGTTGATGATACGCAGCTGCACAATAGGTCTGTGTAGTGGTATCAAAGCCCGGGTTAGAAAAAGCTTGTGCTCCTGTTTCAACGGCAATGTGAAACCATTGATTATACTTCCGAGAATCTCAAGCAACTCCACGATGCCATTGATTCAGTTCCCCATGGTAGGTGTTGTCGCAAACCCATCAGCCGAAAATCCAGCGCTCTGAAACTGATTACATCCCAACTCCTAATGCATTAAACCAACAGCAAAGTTGTTGTTTTTTTTTTAATATTGACCAATGAAGCTTCATACATAGTTTTAACATTAGTACAAAAAGAAAGATTCAAACATAGATATATACCCAAACGAAGAATCTACTATCTGACCTGCAAAAGATTGGCAATGGTTTGAACCGTAGCGGTTTTGTTACACTGCACTTCGTGGGATCTGACTATGAACTTCTCCTTATACGATAAACCATCCTCCATCAAGCTACCCAACATGATGCCTCTTTCCACCGCCGAGTAGACATCTGTGATGAGCATCCACCATTAGAAACCGAAGTCCCTTCTCCTCGGCCATTACTGCATCGCTCCACTGTTTGGTCTTCACCCTTTGATTCTTCAAACTGCAACAAAATCAAAGCCACACAGAAGATAGATGATTAGAAAGTAAATTATTTCTAGATCTAAAAAAAGGGATTCGTTATCATTGACAGCGTCGGTAGTGGAGCTGAGAGACATGAGCAAAGATCACGCGAGAGTGGATATACATGGAACAGAGATCTGCGGAAAGAGAAAAACAGAAGTGGAGAGTGAGAGAGAGTCGGAGCAGAGTAGAGACGCAGAGAAAGATAGGTGGAGAGGAGCAGAGCTGCCACGAAGTAGGAGAGAAGGCACCATAGTGCTTAGTTCACGGAGAAGAGAGGCAGAGGAGGAGAGGAAGCGTTATAGTTTTTGGTGATTTCGTGAAATAAAGAGCCAGAGAGGCAGGGGAGATGGATAGTTAGAAGACTCATACCAAGAATTCTGTCAACGTGGATATTTTTAAAAGCAAAAAAAAACAAAAAACAAAAAGAAGCTATGGAGAATCGATCTCCTATACACGCGGAAGGAAGCTTTAAATAAGAAGAATATACCACTCGGCCAAATGATCATCAATTGTTAATAATCAGCATTACTTAGTTTTGTAGTTAAAAAATTGTGCATGGACCATTAAAAAAACTGACGTAGCGCGCTGGGAGTGAGTAAACTCCATCATTATAATATAGATCATGTGTTGATGTATGTTTTTTACCACATAATCCGAGTTGATGTACTGATCGGGGGACCGCGACCCTATGTGGAAGCATGAATTGGCCGATTTCCCCTAAACAGAGGTATAATGATCAGGAACTACCTTGTAGTGTCTCATATCTTAACACTTCTTGTATAAGACCCTTTTTTAGCAAATATCATTGATAAGGTTTAAAGTATCGACAACTTGACTTTGGAAAACTCACTCCTAGACTGTAATCTTACAAGAACAATTTGAGCATGTATCCGTTTTTTTCTGTACATGATCTGTCCTTTCCATGCATTTCTGCAACAACATAGAATAACTCGTGTGCTCGACTTTTTAACCTGCTACACCATAATAGCCTCTTTCAATTTACCTGCAACATACAGACCCTGAAATGTCTTATCCAGCAGCTCTTTCTTTCTATGATGGTCCACCTGAATGCTAGAACGTGTTACAGGTGAACCAAACTTTGATGTTCTACGCTATAACAATCATTAGATAACTCTGTGCCAGAAGTATCAAAAGTCAAGATGGCCGAGTTGGTCTAAGGCGCCCGCTTCAGGTGCGGGTCCGAAAGGGCGTGGGTTCAAATCCCACTCTTGACAATATTTCTTTTTATATAAGAACAAGAAATAGTTGTGTTATACTGTACTTTGGAAGTTTGGAACTGAAAAATATTGATATGTGGTTCGAATCAAACAGTATAAGAGATATGAATAGTTAAGCTTAGTTTAGTATAGTGCTTATTGCCAAAGATGACGAACGTGTTTTATTGTAACTAGAGATTCTACCCGGGCTACGCCCGGGATTAGATAAATATCAATGTATTTAATATATAATGTGCATATATATCACATCCATTGTTTTAAAAATATATATCATATATTGAGTTAGAAATGATTCAGTCTCACATTTATATTTTTAACATTTAAAAGGCATAGGGAAAAGTGGACGAATGAATAAAAAAATTAGTTAAATCTTAGTTATGAACAAAAGATTTTTT